CTCTGAGCTTGGTGGTTTGCTTGCAGACGTTTCATTACCCGACTAGGTAACATCATCAGTGTGAGTGAGTGTGAGGTTTGCTCCCTGTTTATGTATAGTAATTTGCCCTGCTAGTGTTGGTGGGAGTGTGGTTTTCTCCTTGGTATTTCCTTGATTAGGATATTGATTTCTGCTTAATTGTTTGTCTGGTGTTAATCCCTGCTTATCTGGGTGTTGGTTTCTGGAGAGGATGTGTTCTGGTCTTTTTGTTTCCTTCTTAGCTTCCTTATTGTCTCTTTTGAATGGTGTGTAAATGTGGTTAACTCTATGTGTCTATTGTTGACCAATGTGTCTGAATGCCAGGCTTCCAGGAATTCCCTAGTGTTTTTGGATTTGGCTTGGTCTGAGATGCTGACAGTTTCCCAGTTGAAACTTTGGTTAAGTTTGTCCCTGTATTGTGAGATTAAGGAGTTTACATCCTGTCTTCTGACTGCTACTTGGTGTTCCTGGATGCGCTCTGCTAGTCACTACCATAGTTTCAACTGGGAAACTGTACCCTAATCAAGGAACTACAAAGGAGAAAATCACACTCCCACCAACACTGGCAGGGCAAGCTACTGTACAGAAACAGGGAGCAAACCCCACACTCCCTAGCACTGAAGATGTTACCTAGTCAGGTAATGAAATGTCTGCAAGCAAACAACCAAGCTCAGAAAGCACTAAGAACTCCACAAATACTAAATTATTTGTAATTTTTGATAAAGGCAATTGGAGTACCAAAAGGCAACCAATGAGCTCAAATGTACAAGTGTAACCTCTTCCTTTTGCAATCTGTGCTTCTGTATATCAAATGGAAACTGGGCCTGTGCTACAGTTAACAGTAGTTAGCTTGAAAATAATCAAATCTTCTTTGTTTTCTCTTCCAGTGCAATGCTGGAAAAGATATATATTGATAAGAGTCGAGTTGCTGTGTTTGGAAAGGTGAGTGCCCTTGGAATTGCTACCTTCAGCTCTGGTCTTCTCCAAGATTTTGATCTGCAGTTTGATGGACTATGTCTAAGGTTTATGGTGAGAGCCAGTTTGGTGTTGTGATTGAAGGCACTTGGCTAGAAGGTGGGAGGCTATGAGTTCTAGTCTCACTGTAGGCTTTGGGCCAGTTCCCCTCTCTCAATCTTGGAAGAAGGCAATGGCAAACCCCTTCCAAAAAATGTTGTGGCCCTTAAACCTTGCATAGAAATATGCACAGACATGCACAGGGGTATGTAAACTTACAAAACAAGGAGGGCACACCCCATCGGATGGCTGCAAGGTCTCCAGTAGAGCTGCCAATGGGCTGCATGCAGGTTGAAGTTTTTGCCCCACTGCATTGAGACCAAACACTTGTGGCACTTGTCCTGCAGGTGAGCCTCCAAAAGACATGAGATCAGGCCTCAAGTAAGAGTTAACTGCCCAGTTCTGGCTGACCACTGGGTAGGGTGGAAGCAGAGCCAAAGAAAATGAGAAAAGAACCCAGTCAGAACATGGAGATGAAGTTTGCACTCCCTTCTTGGGACTATGGTATTCCAAGGTCCCAGGGAACGATTTACCAAAGGCATTGCCACTTCCTAAGTATTCAGAAAGGGGCAGCCCACAGCTCTGCAGAGCATGGAAATATAGGGCTACTTGATTCCCCCCCACCCCCATGTACCCACTTTCATCTGTTTTCCTCTTCTCTTTACATCTCAGGATTATGGTGGCTACTTAAGCTCATACATCCACTTTTCTGGAGAAGACAATAAGGGCCCAACCTTCTCGTGTGGAGCTGCTCTCTCCCCCTTGACGGACTTCAGATTATATGGTAAACTCCGATCTCACGGGGTTGATAGGAATAGAAGCCTGTCTTTCAGGGTACAGCGTTGAATCTTAGTATTCTGTTTTCTAAAGCAGGTTTCTACTCCTTAAGGTTGCAAAGATGAACATTAAAATATGCGGGCCAGGCATGTGAAATGTCACGGGTGGAGGTGTTGTGCAGAGGCTAAATAAGGAAATTGGCTAGAACTTTAGAAGATACTCACATAGTCACAAGTATTCATCTACATGCTTTGGAAATCTGGCTAGCTTTGGACAGCTTGCAATTCAGGGTGAACTGGGGACAAGATAAAGCCATTGGAACCAAACCCGTTAAGTTTCAGAGTACAATACCCTGTGTTGGGAAACCAAATGTGGCTCAAATCTTCAGTACTTTTTCATGATTGGTCTGCTTTGACACTGAAGTGCTGGTCATGTTTTCCAACTGTGCTCGTGAGAAGGCCCTCTTGGTGAAGAACGCCTTGTTTTGTTTTTAATAATTTTTGAAGACTGCTGTACCGTACATC